TGGGATCACACCATTGCACTCTAATCTGAGCTATGGGATTACCCTGTCTCAAAAAAAAAAAAAAAAAATGGAGGAGGGAGGCTCTAGGAAGCCCACAAAGGCCTCTGGCAAGGCAGGAATGCCAGGTGAGTCCAATGAGGTGTGGACAATGGGTAGGAGGGGAGGAGACTCAAAGTCAGGGACTGGCCAAGCTGGCTGCAGTAATCCAGACACCTGGGGCCTTGGGGCTGGGTCTGAGACACTGGGCAGCCAGACACACATCCAGCCCCTCTCTGTCCCCCACACCACCTGCATCTGTCACAGGGGTGATTGGAGGTGTTTAGTGAAGGAACAGATGTGTGATCAGGAGTAAAGAAGCTGCAAGGCACAGCGGGAGATCACAGAGCTGGCAACATGGGGAGCCTTCATCCCCACCAGGCCTGCAGGAGGAGAGACCTGTGGCTGTCCAAGAGGGCTGACTGACAGCAGCATGGCTGGAGGAGCAGCACAGCCTCTGCCACCTACGGCCTGGCAGTGAGGAAGCCAGGCAGGAGAAATACCCTGGCATCTCTTCCCTCTCACCTTCTGTTTCTGCCAGGGCCTCCTGTTGGCCAAACTCAACCCAAAGCCAGAGGACAAGGGAGTTGAGGTGATGCATTTGGCAGAGATCAGCCTCGTAGGGTGCAGAGCAAGGTGGAAGAGTGGAGAGTGGAACTGAAGGGGCAGGCAGAGAAAGCCCAGCGCATTGAGCCTGGGAAGCTTGTTGGTCCATTTGTTCTTCTGTTCACCCATCCATCGATCTAGCCATCTGCCATCCATCCATCCATCCATCCATCCACCCACCCACCCATCCATGCATCCCAGCATCCTTTCCACACCTCCTTGTGTGTCTGAGGCCTCACATAGTTGATTAGCTCTGGTGGATGGGCTCTGTTCTCCCTCTGGGCCATGAGGACCCCCCCAATCCCGGGGGTTGGGAGGGTGCTGGGGGGTTCTGCTTACACCTGCTCTCCGGAGCAGTCTGAAGCTGGTTCAGGTGGGGACCTGCAGCCAGTCCCCTCTAGGAAGCACCGGGGCTGGCCAGTAAAGGCCCTTGGTGTGGGTGTGCCTGCTTCAGGACAGCCCCCGGGCCTCCTCTTTGCAGCTGGTGGGCCACTGGACCACCCTTCTCCAACTCCCACTGTAGCTGCTGCCTCTGTGTTGCAGATTCCCTGGGTGGGGGCCCCGAGGGCCCGTGCTTCTGCCCCACCCCCTGCAACCTGACGCGCTACGGGAAAGAGATCTCCATGGTCAGGATCCCCAACAGGGGCTCAGCCCGGTACCTGGCGAGGAAGTACAACCGCAATGAGACCTACATACGGTATGTGTGTCTGTGGGGGGTGGCTGTGTGACTCTGTGTGTGTGTACATGTGTGTGAGCATATGTGTGTATGTGTGTGTCTGTGGGTGTGGGTGTGTATGTGTGTGGGGTATATGTGGGTGTGTACGTGTGTGTGCACGCATGTTTGTGTGTATCTGTGTGGGGCATGTGTATGTGTGTGTTTCCTGTGGGTGTGTATGTGAGTGTATGTGTATGTGAGTGTGTGGTATGTGTGTGTGCATGCACACTTTGTGTGTATCTGTGAATGGGCATGTGTGTGAGAGAATGTGTGTCTGTGTGTGTGTGTGTGTGTGTGTGTGTGTGTGTGTGGTGGAGGCTGCCCTCAATAGGCGCTGGGCATGGTGGAGGTGGGGAGTGGGCCGCATCTCTATGATAAGTCTTCTACCAGGAATGCCTTTCATAGCCCTTTACTACTACTACTACTACTACTTCTTCTTTCTTCTTCTTTTTTTTTTTTTTTTTTT